TATATATATTAGCTTAAAGTGGTGGTGGCAGAATATTGACATTCTGTTCTTCTCCTCAAAATCTGTGTTCTACTRCTCTTTCACCACTCTTTCTTCTACTTCTTCTTCACTTTCTCTTCTCATCGAACCTGAAATCTCTTAGTGTTCAAGACTGAATAGCAGTCCTGAAAACCTACAGAAAACTATGATGGTGGATTGTTGGTGAACATGCAAAGCTCCCTTGGTGAACTTTTGCTTTAGAGGTCCCTTCAACATCTCAAGGTTCATGGTTGCCGCTTCAATAGTAAACCTATTTCCATGGATTTTGCTTCAACATCCTTCTTGCAAACTCAAGCTTGTTTTCCCACCTTGAGTTTGAGGAGATGTGTTGAGAGATATATTGTATTTTGTTGTATTTGGGGATCTGTATGTATTTGTGGGAGAAAAACGAGCTTATATATAATTCTGATATATTTTGGTCTTTTGCTTATTTAATCTAGTGGTTGTGTGAGATTAGGGTTTGAGGAGTGAGAGTGAGTGAGAGAAGAGAGTGAGAGTGATGCCATGTATCTCTTGTTCTTATAATGGATATTTTTCCTCTCCTCCTATGGGTGTAGGCTACGAAGTCGAACCATGTTAAATCTTGGTGTTTTCTTTATTTCTTCTGCTTATTTTCTCCTTGATTTGCTATTCTATTTTATGTTAGTTGACACACTCCAAGCGTGGGGGTTGATGTAATCTATACTATATGCCACAGAGGGGCATTTTTGTTTTTATCATTTGTCTTTTTCTGATTTTTCCCTTTTCTGAACAAGTGCATAAATCTCTTGGACAGACGGAAGATCCTTGCTGCCCAAAACCTGAACATGAATAGCTTCATACACAGGATTCAAACCCAGAAGGAAAGCAAACACCCTTTGCTGTGAAACTAACATTTTATATGTTTTAGCATCATTTTCACTTTCCCAATCAATGTTCTGATAATAGTCTAGTTCTTTCCAAACTGAAGTGAGAGCAGAATAATAGGTCAATAAGCTCCTTTCTCCTTGCTTACATGTTGAAGATTCTGCTTGTAGCTGGTAAATTCTTGCATAATGCCTGTACTCTAAATAAGTTGCTTGCGCTTGGTCCCATATTTCTTTTGCTGTCTCGGCCCACATAAAATTCTGTTTGACTGATGGTAACATGGATGTCAAAAGCCAGGACATAATCATGCAATTCTCTTGGTCCCACTTATCATATTTGGTAGTACCAGCCCTAGGTTCCTTTATTTTCCCATTAATATATCCTGCCTTACCCCTGGCTGTGATATACAGCCGCATCTCTTTAGACCATGCTAGGTAATTCCTACCATCCAACGGGGTAATAGTCATTGGGAAATTCATGGAGTCATGACCACTACTCATTCCACCTTGATTCATGGTGGTTCCTGAAGTTGCAGAATCTTTAGTATTCATGATTTCAGTCGATACACTCCCACAAAGAGAAATTCACAGCCCTCACTCTGAGTGATTAACAATCAGAACACAATTTCAGTTCATGTAGAAACACACTTTGACAGGTCAATTAGGTCTCCAAGGCTAACATTAAGCCACAACCATCAGTGTTCTGCTGCTATGCTGGTCACCTGAACACTCTCACAGGTATAACAGATCCCCCCCAAGGCTAATATTAGTCACAAACATCAGTGAACTTCTGCTGTACCAGTCAGCCAAATTAGGTCACTCATGACCTATAAAAATTCTCACAAGAAACTTGGTTTCTGGATCATCTAACCCACAAAGAAGGAGCTAAACCCACCTTATATCATCCGTTGGGGCAAACCTTAACCTGTTCTTGGTATCTACTCCAAGAAACAAAAAAAAGGTCAAAAAAAAAATCTCCCTGTTCACTTCGAGGGAATTCTGGGTTCACCAGTCCAAGACAAAGAAAGAAAGAACACCAAAAGGAACAGCCGACCTCTTAGGAAGAATCGACCAATCATCAACAGTTTCTGGAATCACTCACGTTTATTTTCAGCCCAGAACAGATGAGAGAATGAACAGTTTGCAGATCCAGAACGAGTTTGCTTCCTTCATTCTCAGTCCAGGTAGAATAGAGCACCGATGCAGTGAGGAGATTTACAGAGCACCAACCTGCTCTGATACCATGAGAGCCAAAAATTCATACTGGCGGTGCCAGCTTTTTTAATTTAAATAGTAGGGTGATCAAGCACATAATAAAAGAAAGAGAAAAGACAAAAATGCCCCTCTGTGGCATATAGTATAGATTACATCAGGGGTATTTGTTTTTACCCCAAAATTTACTCCCGGTGGAGGGGTGCCCCCAGAAATTTTATTAATGAATAGGCAAAAAAGCCTCTGGGGGGGACATAAAAACCTTTTCCCTCTGAAAATCTATACATCAAGAGAATAAAAATCGTAGAAGTTCTCGTGTCACAAGCATAATTTGCAAGGGAATCCGTAGGATGATTTCCTTCATGGTAAGTGTGATATACCCGAAACTCCAAACCCTCTAACATCTTGATCCCAATACCAAATATAATGGGGCGAAGGGATTACCTGAAGCACCAGCTTAACCAAAATTAGGGAATCTGAAAATCTATCAACTTTGTTCAAACCCAAAGCTTTAACTACATGGATTCCATCACGGAAGGCAAAAGTTTCAGCTACCAAGTTATTTTCCTCCCCATAAAAATTTGCAAAAGCTGCGGTGAAATATCCATTCACTGCTCTAACTATTCCCCCTTCACCACTAATTCCTGGGTTACCCCGAGAAGCTCCATCCACATTTAATTTCACATAACCAGCAGTTAGGGGTTGAAGGTAAAGTAATTTATAACGAGCCACCATTATCTAAAGAAGGAGGGGAATGGGAACCTCTCTAATCCAGGTCCAGATCTTATGGATGACAAGCGTGCGTATCAGACATGCCCCCACTATCACTTATAATAACTGCTATAATCTTATGAGAATTACAGTAATGCCCCTAGACAAGTGGCAGTAATAAAAAGAGCATATAAAATGCTAAAGTAGGCTGACAGGAATTCCCACTATCACTTAATTGCACATGAACTGACATTAATTATTAATTGATGCGTCTCAAATAAATATTACAATTAGAAGTTGAAGCTTGACTGTATATAGTGCTCAACCAGGAATTCCCCTTAAACCTTGTAAAATGTTGCCTTTTTTATATCGTATTCCCTCTATTTATTTCTAAGAGAAGTAGTTTCCATGTACTATGTTTCAGTCGAGTTTTTCTTTTAAGTGTTCAAAGATCTTTGCTTTTGTTTTTGTTAAGAAACCCTATTCATTCTTTGGTTATTAATTACCTTGTGGCATATGTTTTTTATGATTGAAGACGAGAAGAATCACTGCCTATATTCAAGAGAAGACTCTTGGGTAGCTTGCTGGATTTTGCTGCCAGAGAGTTGCAGGTTCAGGTAATTCCTGCTTCTTAAAGCTAGTCAATATTTTTTATTGAGTGGATTTGTTTAACGTACTTATAGATATTTCATTAAAGATTCCTATCTTATATTTATTTTAGCTTCTAGCCTATCTTCTCCTTTTGTTTGAGTTCTTAGTGAAAGAATGGTAGGATCCACCGTATGGACGCCAAAAAGGTTGCGGAATGGGTGGGTGAATTTCAAAAATTTTCCTACCTTCTTCCAACTGGGAATCATATTCCCTAAATTTAGAATACAATATTCAAGAATCCTACTTGAACCATAATTGAACCAGATCTGAACCAAAAGACAAGGAGCGAATTATACCTGATCCAGAGAAGCAGTATCTCCCAAAGTTGGTGTTAACGCCCAAAGAGGACCTCAAGATCCGCTCCTGCTGAAGATGACATAGCTGTATGTGGAACGGAACCAGCAGAGTGCGTCCTACACACTGAATCCTTCACAAGAATCCACTAGAAACTCTGAGCACCAAATCTTTTCAGTCTTTTCTACAAAACTGATGTCAAAAACCAATTTCTTGATTTCTTTCTACTTCAAAGATCGAATCTTGAAAGAAAGAATGGCGGCGGCTGGAGGAGAACTCCTGAAGTGAAGATGGCTGAATTGCTTCTCTTCTCTCTTGAGTGTGTATGAGATCCAATCCCAATTCGCAGGATGATTTTCTTTTCACCAAACCCTAGGTTCGAAATCTGATTATGATCTCTTAGGGTTTTTCTTCTTGATTAAGAAACCTCCTAATTAGGAGTTATCCCAATCCAAATCAGTATTTGGATAGGGGATGATCTTAATCCTATCTGCAGATTAAGTTAGTTTACTCCTGATCTTATCAAGAGGTTACCAGATTCAAATCTGATTTGAATTTGGTCTCCCAGAGTGGATAAGGTTAAAGGCCCAATCCTTTTG